TCCCCTATAATGTGTTTTGATTCTGGGGCCCTAAAAATGTAGGAAGGATTCTCAACAATCCCTTTTAAATCAATCTACAAGGACCTCAGAACCGTGGGAACTCAGGGGGGCCGTATTGAGGGCCCCTAATTTCTATTTTTCGGAGGGCCCTATTGTTGGGGGGGGGGGACCCTACTTATTAAAGAGGGTCCAACATTATTTGGGCCCTAGAGTCCTACCATTGGGGTCCTTGGACCCTTGGGGTTCTTTGGGGTGCATCGCTTGCAAACCTTAGGCCACGCATCACGTTATTTTCAAAAGTTTGGCTTCCAGCAAGGGGCCGTCATGCCATGCCCCACCATATACCCCTATCCCGCGTTGGGTCCAAGTCTCTGACCGCCACATAACCCAAAATGTCTTGCTGCAATTGTAAGCCAAAGCCACTTAAACAGTCCTTAACCTCATCCGTTCCAAAAGACCTTCTCAAAAAACAACAACATCCTTTTGACTTACCTGAAAGAAAACATAAACCGAAACAGCTACCCGAATCTTGCACGTCATCGGACATGGAACAATAAGGCCAATCCGACAACGCATGCCTTGTCCATTGGGCATTACAATCCCCAGAAGAACACCAACTTGAAAATGATGTAAGGCTGCGCGCATGTAAGCTCCAAGGCGTTCAGGCAGTATGAGAAATCGAATAGGACACCCATCCTAAGCCCTAGAAGCAATGCCTGACACCAAATGTTGACAAAATGTTACTGATTGCTATGTGTGCTTGGGTGCTGCAACGGATGAGAAGTATCACTCAAATACTTCATGTCGAACTAAACGCTATTGTCCGTCCAGCTTGCCATCCCCTTATGTCGCTGTCTACAATATGTATATATATATATGTATATGTAAGCATATATCCACGGAAAAAAACTTGCAGCCACATGTTCACGTCCCGCCTAAGCATGCTGCGACCCTAACGATTCAGGACAGGGCCGAAAAGCTGAGTGTTGCTGACAAGGGCTATCGACATAGAGACCACCTCTTTAAACCAGACTTGAAACGCTTTGGGTTGTAGGAAAGGGCTCACAGCTCATGGTGTACGAAAGGCGGTTGAAGGCTGTCCAAGCTCCATGCACCTGTGCTTCTCCAGCGCAAGCATCGGCGCAGCCGCATATTCTATGCGGAGAACGCCTCCTTATAGAATTCCTTCAGCCGATCCAGCGCTTCACAGCTTCCGGTGATAAGTGCTTCATCATCAAGAAAGACTAAATCGTCTTCGTATTGCTGAAGGATTATGTGGTAAAAACAAGCGGTCAATATCTCGTATATGAAGATGTCTAATTCAAGGGTGCGCATGTTGGTTAACCCAGGTATGTACTTCTGCCTTTCCCGCGCGGGCATCAACGACAAATCATGGACCAAGTCGTCACCGAAGCATGAACCCTCCCAATCCACCAGTTCCCCCAGAACGGAGAAGAACAAATTGTACGCTCCATGCCTCGAAGGTGTGCCTGCTCGTTCCAACTCATAACGCGCAGCGCTTGCCACCCTCCAAGTAATTGCATCAAGCAGTATGCCTTTCGGTTGGAATCTCTTTGACAGAAAACGCCGTAAGCCACGAGCAGCAGCCTTTGCTGTTGGGAAGTCATCAAAGAATGTGTTGATACAAGCAGAGTTTTGATAGAAATCGTGACCACCACGAAGCGCAGGGAACATTTCAGGTCTCTCCCTCCATAGCACAAGATCGAATGCCATTGCAAAAATTCGGAACTTAATGGCCACACTACCAACAGTGACGTCTGAAACACGCTTCAACTTCAGCAGCTCACGCGCTAGTCTTGTCTTGTCGTCGTCCGTAAACGGCCTATTGGCACCCACATGTCGCTCGAGATAGAGACCCTACAACTTGAAGAACAACATCGTTGCCCAGGGCACTCCGGCAGGCGTGCTCCAAGTCGGAGTAGATTACCTCGTCCAGCTGGTACATGCCAGCCCTGTCCTCACATATCTCTGTCATTTCATTAAAACAATCCACCATCAGGTCTTGGTACCGGTCCACTATGGACATCTTGCATTCTGGCGAACAAGCGACCCACTTCTTTAAGTATTTTTCTGCCAGCGGGGCAGCACGACTAGCAAGCCAACATTCTTTGGTTTGCCTTGTGAGAATGAAGCCATATCGCGGTAGCAGCTCCATGTGCGGCCACCACTTCTCGATTGTCTCTGCGAAAATTTACATATATCTGGGTAGCACCTTTCTTTGCGGTAGCAGCATGTTCTGCACACGCGTAGGCTGACGGACTACAAACCACAGTGAACAGCACAGGACAATGCTGCAAGCATGGGCAAAGCTGCGCGCCATCATGTCAACGTGGAGTTAAGTTCGTATATCAAAACTCAGGAAATGGGGGCTCAATCTACACCGTGACATCTACGAGCCCATTTGATTTCCAGTTGCTTTTCATTGCCTGACTTGAGAGCAGCACGGACGAACGCTGGAAGTCCATGTGCAGTCAAGACTTGCAGCAACGCCAAGCATCCTCGTCCTCTGATGGCCCCCGCAACCCCTTTAGGGTTTAGGGTTTGGGGCCTAGGGCACTGGTTCGAAAAAAACATGCAATACTGTAGGGGGTATTGACTGAAGGATTCGTGTGTGGGTTTCCATTATATGAACCAATAGGAAGTCACACAGATCCAAACTTTTAGTTCTGGAGACCCGTCCAGTTTGAATTGAAGCCATCACCTTCTCATCAGGCATACGGAAAGCTCCCTAATTCCAATTAGACCTTGTAGAATACTTTCACCTTCTATGTTCAAAATCGATAACAGAGAAAACTAGGAACTTCAAGAGACCATGAAAGATAGCCGGGTAGCTTTGAAACTGTTGCATTTACGCGCCTGGGATAAAAAAACAGTAGAGAATCCAGCCAACCCCCAAGTGTATGTCACGCTCCTTTCTTGCTCTTTATATGTTGTTTAAAACTTTCGAAAAACTCCTGACATCCATATTCCTTTTAAGTCCAGAGCCCTAATCAGCTGTGATTCCACATATTAGGGACCAAGACTCCCTTGCATCACGCCTTACAACTCATCGTTCATGCCCTGCGAGCGGCTCACTTTTCAAAGATCGCCCTTTGAAACACAGTTCCAAAATGTATCTGCCTAGATTCCATGCACCGTAAAATCCACCGTGCAGGCATGACAAGCTCGACAGCATGTCGCAATAAATCCACTGGCTCCACAGGTGAAGCCCTAAGGGGCCAAGTACTCAATAATCATAAACTTGCACAAAACCTCTCCTAGAATAACGAATAGTACCAAAATCCCAGGTACCTAATTCTTGGGTATGTGGACCCTCGCCAAAGAGAAGGCGTGCCTCGGGGCGGGAGGGTGGCACCTCCCCGCCCACCAATTTCCGAAGGTTACTGGTACAGCTTGATACTTCAAACGTTCCAGGTGGGGTGAGGGCCCCGATGGGCAAGCCTGTGAATGTTTGAAATATCCGACCAGACGGTCCAAAAAGCTCTTCGGAGCCCAATACTTGGTAAAAAAACACCCACAAGCCGCTCCATGCAAAGCTTTGTCAACGCTGGGTATGTGTACGGGGCCCTTTTTGAGGAGTACCACCCAACAAACATGTAGAATAACCGTTTTTTTGGCCGGCGTTCATGGGTCCTTAGACAATATTTCATCTACCTTGCTGTCTAGGTAGCCCTAAACCCGCGACTCTAACCACTAAAACCTAAACCCTCAACCCTGTCTAATCCCAGCTTAACAAGTATAGAAACCCAAACTCTATCAACTCAAAATCTGAGGCAAGTACGACATGCAAGTCATGAAGCTCGAGAAGACTAGGCCAGTGGGGAGTGACCTTCCACTAAGGTTTAGGGTTTAGGTTCAGAGTTTAAGGTTTAGGGCTTCAGGCTTAGGATTTTGGATTTAAGGTTTAGGGCTAAAGATTTAGGATGGAATTATGGCCTTGAAGCACTTTCCCTAGAACTCTACCTAGCGCAACGATGACCATATCAGGGCTCTTAGGGCATCTCTAGATGGATTCGAGGTCCATCTCAACTAAGCCATAATCATCCTGAAGTAGTGAAATCCAAATTGTAAACTGCAAACGGGCCAAGTTGTGGGTTATGAGTTTGGGGGTTGGGCTTTAAGACTTAACGCCTTGGAGTCGAAGGGGTTTGGAGAGTCAGGGTTTGGGCAAGGCCTTCCGACATGGGTGTGGGCTGCTACACGCTTGGGGAATTTGGGGTCAGAAGTTCCATGGTTTAGGGAAATAGGTTTCCGAACCGTAGGCGTCGAGGGCCTGAGGATGCAGCAATACTAGAAGGTTCATGGGACTTAGGAACTACTTGTCACTGTCCTTGTAACCATACGTGATTCCCCTAACTGGACTTATGTAGGATATCTCGACATCTTCGTCACGCCGTCGTCACACCGTCGTCGCGCCGTCGTCGCCGCGTCGTCGTCGTGTCGTCGTCGCGTCGTCGTCGTGTCGTCGTCGAATCGTCATTGCACCGTCGTCGCGCCGTCATCACGCCGTCGTCGCACCGAAATAAGCTCCCGTTTTGCCCAGAGCTAGGGCTTATTTCCTAAACAAAAACCTAATTTGGGCCAAAACTAGGGCTCATTTGGGTGCGATGGCGTGACGACGGCGCGACGATGGCGCGACGATGGCGCGACGACGACTGGACGACGATGCGATGACGGCGCGGCGACATTGCGACGACGCTGCGACGACGGCACGACGACGTTGTCGCATCGTCGTCGCATCGTCGTCGAGTCGTCGCCTCGTCGTCTGGTCGTCGTCGTCGTCGCTGTCGTCGTGGCCTCGTCATCACATCGTGGTCGCATCGACGTCACATCGTCGATGCGTCGTCGTGGTATCGTCGTCGCATCGTCGTTTCGGTCACACCCCCAGTCTTATCCACTAGAGAAGCTTCGCACACAGCTCGCACACAGCTTCTAACCCTTGATAACTTAGAATCCAAAACCGTGAACCCTAAACCCTAAACTCTAATGATCTCCTAGGCAGTGCTAAGTCAATGCCGGAACAAATTGAATACCCTGAGAGTCCTCAATAGGTGACAGAGTTTGTGGCTTCTGGGTTAGTGCAAAGCCCAGAGATCCTAAAACCCTATACTCCAAAACCGTAGACCCTGAAGCCACAAAATGCCACAAACTCCAAAACTCCCGCATGGCTAAGGGCCTCCCCTGAAGCGCTCCGAGCATTGTGGGCACCCACATGAAGACGAAGGAGTACCTGCGGACAATTGATTGTTAGGGTTGGGGTTTGGGGTCAAGGAAAAAGAACGGAATCCCCATGAGGGTATAGGTTTTAAGATGCAGGGCTTAGGGTTTAGGGAAAGGAACCCCTGATCAAGGGTTGCACGGTTGCACCGCTAGCCTCGGTTTTGGCATCCTTTCTGCAACTCCATACTGTTCATAAATCATCCCAATATAATGCCAATGTACAACAAGGAGAAAGTCTAGTACCAGAGGGTGGGGGGCTTCAAAAGCGGGCGAGGTGACATTTACGAGAGCAGCCTGCCAAAAAAATTAAGTATACACATCCTACGGCTTTCAAATACCACATCTAAAAAGGTACAGTAAGAGTCCTACAAAGGCAGCATGTTTTGGCACTACCATGCACAGAGTGGAAAACAACACTTCGTCATTGTATGTGCGGTTGTCGTTCTAGAGAAGCACTTAGGCAAGGCGCAACTCAGTCTGAACTCTTCCTTGTACTTGACCCTAAGGGTCCATGTACCCAATAATTGGGTACTTGGGATTTCAGTAATAGTAATTATAGTATAGGTTTTGGGTAAGTATATGATTATTAGGTACTTGGACCCTTAGGGTGAGGTAGGTCAAACCCAACGCAGCGCCACTCTTCCCATGCATATATACTCCGTGTGAGGCAGTTTACATACGCCATACATCTTCTGTGAAACTCACGGTACGTACCTGAGCTGCCATCCTGTATGAAGCCCAAACGATCTTAGGCTTTAGGGTTTAGGGTTTAGGGTTCTGAGGTCTTTTCAGTGGAGCCGGCTTGGGGCTCTCATGTAGAAACCCATTATATTATAGTAGTTTGCATTTTCGTTTCCATTATCCGTATGTAACCCCAATATACTATATGGTCATTTCCCGACTGGAATAATGAGGTTTCAAGCCTCTTCGGGTGCACTTGTGTTGGCCTTGCAATAGCTCCTTTTATGATGCTAAAAGGACGTGCCCCGAATCTTAGATTCCTCGGCCCTATCTATATGTCTATATATTACGTGCAGTTAACAGAACCCCTACCTAAACCCCAAAAGTATGTAAAATAATAGCCCTAAACCCCTAACAATAGCCATAAAGGCCATCATTTTACATAATTCTGGGGCCCAGGTAACCCTAAACTCCAAAAGAGAAAATGGTCCACGCTGGAGACCCATGCTTGTAACCTCAGCTTCCAGAACCAGCCTGAAGAATTGTTATGGGTTTAGGGGTTTAGGGTTTTAGGGTTTTAGGCTTTGGGGTTTAGGGATTATTCCGGCATGCGGCTGATGTTTCAAGTCCAGCAAGACCCAAAGCATTCAAAGTTTGACACAGTACTCTTCTCAAGATTTGTGAATTCAGGTTGCTCTGTCAAAACCATTCCTGCTGCAGCATTTCATATAACTATCTTCGTCAAAGCGGTAGGTAGGCCCCTAACACACTGCAAAGTTGCTGCACTCATCATTTAGGGTTTCGGGCTTAGG